GCTTCGTGTGGGGAATCAAAGCCTGGTCTCTCACCTGACAGGCAGGAAGACTCAGAACTACACAAAACAAATTAAATACTAATTACAGGGATTCCACCAGAATTATTATAAAATTAAGCTAAAACTATGTTTAAAACTAGATCCTATCTTTCAACAGCAACTAACCCTGACGACAGTGAACAGAACTACAAGTTGTASTTTGGACCTGAACAATGCTGTGTGGTCATATAATATGATAAACACAGAMCTCCTCCTCAGTTGTTGTGTTTATCCATATTACTGTGAAAATGTTAACTTACACAAGAACCACAAATGCTGACAGGATGAAAAAAAAAAACACATGGAGAAAAAAAAATCCAAGCAGCCATGAGAAGCATCAGTCTGATTAGTTACTGTGGTTTTATTTGTTGGTGTGACATTCAGATTTTTTCTGGGATCAGAGGAAACACCACRCTGTTTATTGGCCAGTACCTCCGAGGACCGAGCTGTTTGTTTTCGTCCCTCTCGTCAGGTTTCTTGGTGGTGGCGACCTTCTCAGCGCTGTCCAGGAGCGCACTCAGCGCCACCCTGCGGAACACGTTCCCGTGGGCCTCTTTGATAAACTGCACCAGCTGGCGGATGTCGCAGTACAGACCCTGCAGAGGAGGAGAGAATGTGAGAGTYTGARAGCAAACGAGGGARTTTTTTTCACACGTRATGTTTTGGAGTTTGTCACAACACCAGCTGGTCTAGACGGTCTTCTRYTAGGGGTGTCCCGATACCAGTTTTTCTAAAATCGAGTGCGAGTACGAGTACTTCAGTTTAGGTACTCACCGATACAAATACTGACTACTTACTGAGTTAGAATTAAACATTACACAAAGACTTTAAAAACTCTTTTCTTTTATTTAGAACAAAGTAGATCTCCTTACTTAWAAACCTACAGGCCCTCTGACCAGATCAAATCATATAAACAGCACAGTGCAACAATTACAGATTGTTTTTCAACTTCTATACATTTTTTAAACATCATTTATGTCAACCTGTACGGATTGTCCGTAAGTTATAAGGATTTTTACGTCATTTTGCAGGTATACGGACGTATAGAGCAAGCTCACGGATTGTTTCCCAGTCTTACGGATTTCTTCAAAACCCAAATTTTCAAATTTATCTAACGTGTTCCTGTGGGGTGATTTAAAAAACAAGAAATAACATCAAACATCCATCTTCCAACCTGTTCTTCAGCTAGAAGTAAGTTTTGAAATTTTTCCGCTCTCCTTTCGTCCGAAGAGGTTAACATGTATGAAATATGGAACTGACAGAACTTACAAACTTTTTACTTGAAATGTAAATCGTAACACGAGTCAAACTCAAGATCCACGGGCCAAATGCAACCTGTCAAAAACAAAAAGGCTTCAAAAATGTACCACTGTCTAAAAATTAGGGTATGCTGCTTTAAAGCCAGCAATAACCATAAACTACATCTCCCATAATGTATGTTGATTATTTTACTCCTTACTCTCCTTACTAGGTGGAGTTGATTCAAGGTTCAAAAGTAGCTGGCAGATGGTGAAGTTTGCGTGTAAAATCTCAATTTCAGTCATAATGTCACATAGCAATATACTGTTTCTGTGGATTGATGTATGTACCTGCTGCTGCTGTTACACCTGAATTTCCCCGCGCGGGACAATAAAGGCTGTTTCTATTCTATTCTATTCTATTCTATTCT